TGTATGGATCTCTCTAAAATTGTATTACAAGGTACCATACCACAAAGGCAAGGCTGTTATTGAGCTTGGTTTGGGGGGAAAGGGGGGTGGGGGTGGTGAATAATAAGGGGGCGGGGGTCAAAAAAGGGGTAATTTTTTTTTTTCCTTTTTTTTTTGTTTAAAATTTACATTTTAAGTTAGTTATTTTTTATCACGAAGAGAAAGTAGGAATTGAGTTTTGGGGTTAATTGCTCAAACATTTATGAATAAGGGGCCAAATATTGGTCAAAAATAAGGATTTTTTAGTTTGCAACAAAAACTTGTGTTCAAGTGTATGGATCTCTGTGAAATTGTATTGCAATGTACCATACCACAAATTGAAGGTTGTGATTGAGGTGGGGGATGATGAATCAAAAGGGGGTTGAAAAAATGTGTGGGAGGTAGGATTTTTTTTTTTCCTTTTTTTTTCTTTAAAATTTTCCATTTAAAGATGGTTGTTTCAGATTTATATATGAAAGAAAATAATAATGATACGGTTATATATCATGAGGAATTGAAATTTAAAATTATGTATATTGGAAATTTAAGTTACATTGGAAAGTAATAATTGGCTTTGGGGGGGGGGGGGGGGGGGGGGGGGGGGGGTTATGGCTCTAATGTTTAAGGAATAAGGGGAAAAAAGGTTAAAAAACAAGGGTTTCCATTTTTAATAGACAAATAATTGAGTAAAGAACATTATTTAAAAGCAGTGTAAGGTTGGTAATTCAAACTCATTTAAATATCTCATCTACACTGCTTTTAAATTATGTAAATTGGCAATTTGCCAATAACTTTATTGTTAATAAATGCATTGGAAATTTGCCAACAATTTTAGTGTAATAAACTTCATTGGAAATTTGCCAATATAAAATTTTGCTGATGAAGGATTTTTGTTTACCTTTAGCCTTGACTATGAAGTCATTTTCTATTTTTATAGCCTTATGATGTAGTTGAATTATTTAATACTTTTATGATGTGTTTAAATGGGGTTTTATCATGTTTATGGTTGCAAATTTATTGTTTTAGTATAATAAACTCCATTTAAAATTTGCCAATAAAAAAAATTTTTGTTTATTTTTAGCTATGATTATGATGTCATTTTCTATTTTACTTTTATGGTTGCAAAGAAATTTTTATTTTTAGATATTACTGTTAAATGATGCTGATTAAGGTTTTTGCTATGTTTAGCCATGACTATGATGTCATTTTCTATTTTAATATCTGTTATGATGTATTTAAATGGGCTTTTATGGTTACAAAGGAATTTTATTTTTAGATATTACTATAAAATGTTGCTGATGCTGATTAAGGATTTTGTTTATTTTTAGCCATGACTATGATGTCATTTTTGTCGAGCCTTCGACTTTTGTCGAAAAAGCGAGACATAGCGATCCTACATTCCGTCGTCGTCGGCGGCGTCCACAAATATTCACTCTGTGGTTAAAGTTTTTGAAATTTTAATAACTTTCTTAAACTATCCTGGATTTCTACCAAACTTGGACAGAAGCTTGTTTATGATCATAAGATTATATTCAAAAGTAAATTTTGTAAAAAAAAAATTCCTTTTTTTCCGAATTTTACATATAAGTGGATTTAGTTTTTCTGCCAGTTAACATTACATTCACTCTGTGGTTAAAGTTTTTAAAATTTCAATAACTTTCTTAAACTATCCTAGATTTCTACCAAACTTGGAAAGAAGCTTGTTTATGATCATAAGATAGTATCCAGAAGTAAATTTTGTAAAAAAAAAATTCCATATTTCCGTATTTTACTTATAAATGGACTTAGTTTTTCTGCCAGGAAACATTACATTCACTCTGTGGTTAAAGTTTTTGAAATTTTAATAACTTTCTTAAACTATCCTGGATTTATACCAAACTTGGAAAGAAGCTTGTTTATGATCATAAGATAGTATCCAGAAGTAAATTTTGTAAAAAAAAAATTCCATTTTTCCGTATTTTACTTATAAATGGACTTAGTTTTTCTGCCAGTCAACATTACATTCACTCTGTGGTTAAAGTTTTTAAAATTTTAACAACTTTCTTAAACTATCCTGGATTTGTACCACACTTGGACAGAAGCTTGTTTATGATCAAAAGCTAGTATCTAGAAGGAAATTTTGATAAAATTTTGTTCCATTTTTTCTGTATTTTACTTATAAATGGACTTAGTTTTTCTTCCAGTCAACATTACATACATTCTGCAGTTTAAGTTTTTAAAACATTTATTAGATTCATAAATTATCCTGGATTTTTACCAAACTGGGACAGAAGCTACTTACAATCAAAACATAGTATAGAGGGGAATATTTTTATTAATTTTTTTCCTCATTTTTGTTGAGCCTGCGATTAACACCAAAAGTAGGCGAGACACTGGGTTCCGCGGAACCCTTACGAATTTTGTTTATCTATTTTAATACCTTTATGATGTAATTTCCATTTTTAGATATTACTGTTAAATGATGCTGATTAAGGATTTTTTGCTATGTTTAGCCATGACTATGATGTCATTTTCTAATTTAATATCTTTATGATGTATTTAAATGGGCTTTTATGGTTACAAAGGAATTTTATTTTTAGATATTTCTTTAAATGTTGCTGATTAAGGATTTTTGTTTATTTTTAGCCATGACTATGATGTCACTTTCTATTTTAATACCTTTATGATGTATTTAAATGGGCTCCCATGTATTTAGATTTTTGATTATTTATACATGTTACCAAATTGGTCCACATTGAACAAAAACGGTCCAAATTTCAACTTTATTACATTACATCAAACATTGAATTCTACATATTCTTTGATATATTGAAATTAACAAACAATTTAGTTTATGGATATTCCACCATAATAGGTAAATTAAATTTTTTCCAGTTCTTACACCACATTCATCCTGTGTATTTAATGACAATCCAAAGTCATAGCTGTATCAAGCTTGAATTTTGTGTCCATACTTGCCCCAACTGTTCAGGGTTCGACCTCTGCGGTCGTATCAAGCTGCGCCCCAGCGAAGCATTTTATTGGTTATTATCTTGTATATTATTATAGATAGAGATAAACTGTAGACAGCAATAATGTTCAGCAAAGTAAGATCTACAATTAAGTCAACTTGACCAAAATGGTCCATTGACCCCTTCAGGAGTTATTACCCTTTATAGTCAATTTTTTGTAAATTTTTGTAATCTTTTACAAAAATCTTCTCCTCTGAAACTACTTAGACAAATTTAACCAAACTTGACCACAATCATCATTAGGGTACGTAGTTTTAAAAATGTGTCTGATGACCCCGCCTGCCAACCAAGATGGCAGGCATGGCTAAAAATAGGACATAGGGGTAATATGCAAGTTTTGTCTGTTATTTTTTGAACCTTTATAAATAGAGAAAATCTGAAAGGTGCAAAAATGTTCAGAATTATGAGCTCTACCAGTTGTCCATATACGTCAAAACTGTTCGACAAATTCTTACAGGAGTTATAGCCCATAAATGACAAATTTACCATTTTTGTCCATTTTTGCCTATTATCATGTTAACTATGATATTTAGAGAGAAACATGTTTTTTTCTGTCATGCCTTATATGATTTAAATTACAATAGATAAATAAACACTTTAAATCACTAAAATGGTCAGCAAGGCAAGATCCATTAAAAAGTCAAATTTTGGTGATATATAGTTAGTAAACCGTCACTCTTCATAGGAGTGATTGCCCTTAAATGATTATTTTTTTTACCTTCTTTTGTGTTTTGAGCAAAAACTAAAGAAGATAGAGAAAAAGTAAACAGACTTAAATATCAGTAATACAAGATCAACAAAATAGAGATTTTCGTCATGAAATCTATTCTCGTCTACAATATGTTGGAGAGTGTCCTTTGTTTGATATATATGCACATAGACCAAGGTGAGCAACACTGGCTCTTTAGAGCCTCTAGTTTAATACTTTACTTAATAGGTCAACTATATTTGGTGCATGGAATGTTTGTATGGTAATTAGGTATAAATGCCTGTCTGCCAGGTTTCATCTGACCTTGACCTCGGTTTACTAGTCAATTTTTAGTTTTGCTGGTTTGGTCTGTTTCTTGGATACATAAAGCAGTAGGTCAAATATATTTCGTTTGTAGAATTATTGTTTGGAGTACATGTCCATGTAGATCTGGACACATTTAAATGGATCATGATAATGATAAGTTTATGTGATAATTGTAGTAGTACCTTAATTCTAAAGACTTTCAACATAAAGTGATTAGCAGGCAAGACATTTCAGCTTGTGCACTCTTGTTATGAAATTTATTTCAAAGGTTTATATCAGCAATGTCTAGGATGAATCGAATATAAGTACAGGTCAACTAAGTTCATTTGTTGTGAACGTTTTAAAATATTTGCCAGATTACGTTTTTGACCCAGATATCAATAATCACTGAACATGTGGAAATGTGATATATAATGCATATCAGGTTAAAGTTTCTGGTTAAGGTAGTTTACACTTTTTAATTGTGGTCACATCAAGTTTACTTAGAACACATATAGAAATAAGGAGGTGTGGTATGATTGCCAATGAGACAACTATCCACCAAAGTTCAAATGAAGTGTATTTAAGCAATTATAGGCAACCGTACGCTCTTCAACAATGAGAAAAATCCATACCGTGTGGTTGGTTATAAAAGGCCCCGACATGAAAAATATGAAACATTTCAATTGAGAAAACTAACAGCCTAATTTATGACAAAACATGTTCATTATGAGGTGAACTCTTTAACATATATGCCAAATTAAGAGTTTTACCCAGATTTTGCAGTTTATTGGCCATGAAAATGAGTGCAAGCAGGGCATGATGTCCTATGGACACAAATTCTTATTAGCTATTATCTTGAAAAGTATATGGAATAGGATCCCAGTCCAGTACCCAAGAATGGAGTCTCTTAATAAATCTTACCATCTTTTAAATGGGATATTATACTGAGATAAAAATTATGTAAAGATGCTTAGATTTGTAGTATATCTAAAGGGTATTCATTAAACTTTCAACTTCTGTTAAATTTTAAGTGATTCTGAAATGTATAGGGTGGATGATTGTCTGAGTAAATGGTCCAAATTTTATTTTCATTTTTAACCAGGAATTATAAAATGACCCAAGAATACTCAAAACAGTATTGCTCTCTTAAATGCCGGTCATGACCTTTCAAGAATTCCCCCAAGAAACCATGAAGGGGGATACAAGTATGAGAAAGTAATTGAAATTTTGCAGTCTAAGATAGGGAATAAAAAATTTGCCCCTCAATTTTGATAAAATTGCATTGAAGTAATGGGGGAAATAGTTGGGTCCCAATTCCATATTAGACAAACAGAAATGTTAATCATAAAGATGACCAGCAAGACAAGATAAAGGTCAAACATGTTCAAAATCATTAATCAATTCTTCATATGAGTTCTCTTTTTTTTTTGCATTTTAGGCCATTATCTTGAAAACTAACATAAATATGTGCATCAAATAAAATTTGGTCTCTATTAGAGTCCCAGGTGAGCTATTCAGGCTCCTTTGAGCCTCTAGTAAAACAAAATCAGGCTATATTAAATTATCTTCAGACATATACTAGAATAAGGTCATTGCCATTGGCTTAAATCTAAATACAATGTACTTTCATGTGTTTACTATTGTTAGAAATTGTTTTCTCAATTTATTAACAGAACAATACAAACAAGAATGTGTTTTTAATTTTATTAAATTTAGTATCAAAATGTTTTTTTAATAATATTTCATAGAAAAATATTGAATCAATAAAAATGTTATTCCCTAAACATGTAACACAATGCATAAATGTTTTTAACATGTAAATAAGGAAAAGGGGAAAAAAGTAGAGTGTACATGTCATAATTGTATATTATCAGTGACATAGATAAATAGATTTAAGTATATATATGTGTGTGTATTGTCATCTCCAGGTCATTATCTTATGTGTAGTCTGGTCACAATCAACAAGTGGTCCTGTTATAATCAATTGCAGCCAGTTGTGTTGTAGGTGTTGCTCTGAAACATACATCTACATCCAAGGACATGTGGAATTTTCTACAGCTGTTGTCTAATCAATACTCTCATTTAAATGTCCCTGAAATGCCTCAGTGATTCTGGTTAAGATGAATTTGTAAATGTAAGTTTAAACTTTTCTCTTATTTCTTTAAAAAATCTATCTTGATTTTTGTTTAAATGCTGTTTTTGTGAAAATAGTGATTTTAAGAATTTTGTTGTGATTTTTACACACAGTAAAATTAATCCTTTGTATAGACTTCCTGTGGAGTTTATTACATCCCCCTAATGTAAATGAAGTATTTGTGACTATAATGATATGATGATTATAAATGTTTAGATATGTTGTATAATTGCTTGTATCTATCTTTAATCTAGATAACAGGGCCAATGGGCAAATATCAAATGTTCTTCCTTTAGATTTTGACATGTCCAATTGTAATTTGTGCATAGCTGGCAGGGATGTAATTAAAGCCCTCCATGTCACTATTTTAAATAACAAGTACATGTTGCCAAGGAAACTGTGTGTGGTATCCATGGATATGATGCACAGCTGTGTGAACTATCACATGGTAGCCGGGATGATCTGGTCAGCTAACCAATGAAATCCTCTCTCTATCTCCCAGCATTCTTTTTAGTGATGAGTTGGTAGAGACGCCATCTTACCCCTTAGCATCTATGTAAACTTTCTTTTAGTTGTGAGATTTTGTGTCTGGAATATGAAACAGAAAGTTTATGCATTGACAATCAGACTGGAGTAATCTTTATATAGTTTAAAGGTAGGATTATGAAATAGGATAGGTTATCTGTAAAATCTGTCAACTAGAGTGAAATATGTCACATGAAAAGTTTTACAAGTAAAAATGTCCTATATCTTCATTTATCACCTCAAATTGTCACATTGTTATTTCTATTGAAGCATAAATTCAATTGTGTATCTGTATAATTATACTCCCTCATGTGAAATATTTAAATATGTCTTACAAAATATCATACAAGTTTTGTAGTATGAAGGAAAGCATGCTTCTAAGATCAAGAGAGGTTTAAATGCCCCAGAGTGGGTTTAAATGCCATCAAGTCATTGATTACCTATTAAATCACAGTTTGATCACTATATTTTAATGGAGGCGGTATTTTTGAATGAATTTAAGACTGTTACACAAGTTTCTTTAGTAAATTTGTTTGTATCATCTTATTATTTACACAATGGGGTCAACTTCCTGTTTTGTGTATAAACATCTGTGAAGTAGTTGACTATATCAAACTTCTGCATTAAACAAGGGTAGGTCATTTTATTTTATTTTTTTGAGGGGTAGTAACAGATAGTCTTCTACATATAGAGGAGACATATGAAGGATCTGGGGAAAAGGGGGGTAAACAGTGTCCATCTTAACCTGGTATCATATTGATGTGTAGTTTTAGTACATATACATAACAAATGTATGATAATTTGTCCATATTCCAATCTTGATACTTATTGGACTACTGTAACCACCAGATAAAAGTAGACGTTCTGTTCAATTTTTGTTAGGAAATGAAAAAAAATATGATTTAATGCTATTTGCTTTCTTAATTTAATCCTGAACTGCTGAATTTGTATATTATGAGGACAAGAAGTTGAACATAAATCTTGAGGCTTGTACCTTTGAAATAGGTTTCCTGAATTTTATGAGCATTTGAATAAAAACACTACTATTTTAAAATGTTTGGGAGGAGGTGTTATTCATGGATAATTAACAAAACCTTTCCAAATGAATAAAAAGGATATGGTGTGTACTTTGATTGAGAGAGCAACCTAAACATGCTAAAGATCAAAAGACAATATACATGCATGTCTAGATTTTGGATTTTTGAAAGTATTTTTTCGTTGGTTCTATTATGTAAAATTTGTTAAGACTCAAAATGACCTGGACATTAAAAATATTTTTATTTATACTAAATGTTATGTAACAGGTACACATATAGTGTCATTTTTGTTTGGAAAAATTGTTGAGATGAAATTCAGATGGTGTAAAGTCAAATGCTTTTAAAAATTGATATAATACTTTATAAAAATAGCCTTACACCTGACAAGATATCTTTGACTTTAACTTTATGTCATTTTGGACTATTATTTGGTTCTTGTGCACAATCTTTACTTCGGCTAGACAAAAAAGTTTTGATATCTTCACCTTGGCAAGACATGGACTTGAACATGTGGTGAAATATGAATTTCTATGCACTAGTAAATGACCTTCAAAGTTTAAATTTGTTCTTTTATCACTACTGCTTCTGCATTAATTTATTAGTTCTGGTATAGCATTACAGATATAACTGTTGGCAAAAAGGAAAGTCAACATGACCTTCAGGACCTATATAATATGTGCTTTAATTAATCCACATCTGTTACTTTTTTCTTGATATATTTTTTAAATGCTTTTTCTTGTTGTTGTTAATTCACTAAATAAACCTTACAAAACAGGGGAATTTTAATTTCAGTAAAATCCCAAGATTGAAATGGGTTCTATGTAGCCTTGATAGGTTTCAGTAGATATTGCTTGTACAAAATGTATTGAGTGACTATTGTTGATTATTTATCAAAGGCCTATATCGTTTATGCATAAACATATTAATTAATGATAAGGTTAAGAATATTATTTCATATTTTAATGATTTTTAATGATCTATAAACAAAATATATTTGTCAATTTTTTTCTGATATCATTAATTTCAATGATGTGTAATACATGTATTTTAGCATAAATTAATTTAAAGGCTTTTGCTATATTGTCTGAAAAGATACATTAGAGAGTGACAGAGATCACCAAAAAGCTCTTATAATAATGCAAAGATTGTGAATAATATAATTTACAAAGAATATTTTACATGAATGCTGAGTAGTTAACATTCAATTATGATATTTTGAGGTGCAAAATTGTTTTTAATGTGTCCCATCTACTCATTCCGCACCCTTCTGATGATGTTAACCTTTTTATACATGCCACCATGGAAAAAGAGTAATTTCAGAAATTCAACTGTCCCATTGTAGCTTTTTTCTGTGTCTCACCATAGATATTATTTGAAAAAGAAGAAAAAAATGACATGCTCCTTTGGTTTTTTTTGGGGGGGTATTTTTGCTATATTTGTATTTATTTATTTATTTATTTATTTATTTATTACATAGCTTTTATATAGCGCCTATCTAGTAAACATAATACTCTAAGCGCTTAACACATAAAATTGAAGGAAAATATATATCACAATGCATACAATAATAGCAAATATATATATATATATGAACATAAGAATGAAACAGAAATTAAATAGAATAATGATGTAAATTAAAAGCATTGAAAGGGGAAATATATATCACAATGAATACCATAAAAACATATTAGAATATAACAGTTAACCAAAATTAATTTACCCAGAATTCCTAGCTTTACAATTGATTCTGTTAAAGACAGTTGCCAGAACCAATCAATAATTAAAGCCATATTGGAAATCTAATGAATATTAGCAAAGATTGTATTTGACTGGAACTTATGAATTAAGGAAATTGAAATTTCAGTCAAATGTGTGTCACTGTGTATTTGATATACTATTAGTATCAGTTGTAATATACATTTTATGAGTGTTTTGTATATACAACAACATGTATATATATATATTGCTATCCTGATAATTGTGAAACTCACCTGAACTCCTTGAGAGAATTCATTTTCTCTTTGATCTGTCAAAATCCATCAAAAATGTAAATTTCATTTGGAAAACATGTTTCTGATTTTCCATAACAATTTTTCTCTCATTTTCTAACCATTTTCCTGATTCCTAAGCATTTTTGGTCAGGAGACTTGATAGATGAGATTGTCTCACCTGTAATTCCACCTGTCTGTTTACCTGCTCAGGTAGAATTGATGTTGCTTTATGGATGCTGAACCAATAGATTTTCAGCTTACATATCCATCAAGCATGCTATTGATTGGTATAAATTTATATCATGATTTAAGTTTTTTTTTATTAGTAATTGATCCATTTTTGTAACTCATTTCATTTACATATTCTCACACAACATGGAATTTCAGTAAGAAAAATAAAAATGTGAAATTTGATATTTTTGTGTGTTAAATCTGACTGCATGGCTTCCATTTGTTACCATAGTAACTCATAAAACAACTTTATTGATCTCACTAGCTTAGGAATGGAGATAAATTTTATGGAATTTATATGTAATGACAATTTCTGCATCTGTCAGAATGAAGAGGTAATTTTTTTTTATATTTCTTAGTGACAATAGTATGATGGAAAAAGGGACCTTTTCAGGATTATAAAGACTAACAAATCGAGGAACATTTTACTGATAGACTTGTATAAAGCTTTTTGCTCTTTAAGTGTCAAAGACAAAGAAAAGATTAAAAGTATGTTGTGAAAAAAAAACACAAAACAATTGTTGTTGAAACTTAAAACTTAGACAAACAGCTGTTGTACTGTAAATTGTTAGACTTTTTGTTTAAGCTGTACTAACTGCAATTATCAAAAACCAAATCATATGTTTTCACAAGTAAAACTGTTGACAGTGATAATTCCTATATGTTTGCAGTTTATCAAACATTTCTTTGTTAGGAGTTAATAATTAAATGAAGTTTGGATTATTTAATTAACCTGGAGATTTTATGTAATTAACCTGTACAAAGACATCAAAGGATTAACTAAGGTTAATAATAACTATGGCCTCTTGGTGTGAGCCTGGTCTATTAGTGGTCTTGAGTAGTTAGAAATTGTCATTAGTTAAGATAGTGTGATATAACATAGAAGTACTTTAGAAATTGTCTATAGTTAGTACAGTGTGATTTAACGTGGAAGTACTCATGGTTATTTTATCTTCACAAACAAGGTAAAAATACTTGAATACCTGTATTTTGGAAAAAAGTATGGTGAATTTTTGTTATTTATTTCCTTAATTTTATTTACAAGGAAATGTTTGAATTGCTATTTTTGATGAAGAAACTAATATTTTTTTTTAAACTTTCAATGTGCCTGATTTTTTTTAAATCTTAAATCTTAAAAAATAAATTCCTACACAATAACTCACAAAATATTCACTTGCAAGTTGTGTGTATTAAAGCTTGGATGTATTATGTATTTAATTGATTAAATGTTTCATGCTAGAATCAGTTGGGAAAGAAAGGAAAAACTTCTTGCTTTTGAGCAGATAGATGATTTTGAAGCATAAAAACGTATAAAAACAAAAAAAAGGTAGAAGGTTACAAGTGAATATAAAATGTGTACAGAACTTGTGTTAAGTGGTCTGACATTAATTCTGTATAAAAAATATGTATTGTTGGATGAGATAATACAGGTTTTTTGGTCAATTACAATATCGTTTTGTTTATCTTTTGCAGCTTACAGTTGATGCATTTGGTTGCCATGGCACCAACTCGTAATTCAGATGAAAGTGATGCCTCAATGAGAGAACGTCTTGTAAACAGTCTTAGTCAGAGTTTCCCAGGAAGTGCTTTGTCGAAGGCTTTAAGTTGTATGTCAGCCGAGGACTCGGATGATGACATGAAGGATCCTTTGAGTAGTAGCTGTTTTGCTGAATTAAGACTGGATAAAGTTGACATAGAAGATGATGATGAGCTAACAAGTTTATCTTGGCTACAAGACAATGATTTATTGAAGAATATTAAACCTAGTGATGTTGATGATGATGACGACTCACAAAAAGAGAATGACAACATTCACAGAGACGGCAACCATTTCAACCCAACTCATCCACCACATGTACCGTACAATCCCCAGAAGCATATACATAGTAAACCGCCATACTCTTTCAGTTGTTTAATTTTCATGGCAGTTGAGGATTCACCACACAAAAAGTTACCAGTCAAAGATATTTACTCATGGATCTTAAACCACTTCCCATACTTTCAGAATGCACCAACTGGTTGGAAGAATTCTGTGAGACACAATCTTTCGCTCAATAAGTGCTTCAAGAAAGTTGACAAGGATCGTGGCCAGGTAAGTTCTATAATTTGTTAATGGTAATATTTTATTGAAAGTCCTCAATAGAGGTTTTAAAATCTTTCTTTGTTTGAAATATTTTGAGGTTTATATATAATTTTAAGACCCTCCATGCCATTTCCCAAAAATATACTATAGGATAGAGATATGTTATTTCTGTCAATTTCATTTGTAAAAGTATAAAATTTAAAGGAAATAATTGAAATTGTGCAATTTTAAAAAAAATGTACTGTGAAGGAATGAGAATCTCAAACTTGATAATAAGTAACCTAACATAAATTGAAAATTTTTCGTTTCACGAAATGATTTCTTATTCAGTCAATTGAAAATTTTGTTTTTAAGAATAAGCAATAAAAATCTGAACCCTTTTTGAGCAGATTTTCTAAGATTTGTAATACTTGTCTTTATATACATGTAGATGTATACTCTTTATGGAAGTTTTTCATGAAACAATATTTCAATACAACAATTTATATTTACACCCCTTTTTTTTATTTTCCTCGTATTTGTACTTGCCAAGATTGCATTGAACTTTTAACTTTTAAAATATCTACCTGTACATGTATATACATTTCAAGGAAAACCTTTTGAAAATTTTGAATAATAAGTAATGCATTTAAAAATGATAATTTTTGTTGTCTTTTGAAGGACATGATGAGGTATAAATAGCTTCTGATTACACAATTACACCATCTCTATCACCAACAATCAATAATAAATAGGAAATGTTAACATGATCATTTTCCTTGTTATAACAATGAGTAGTTGAACTAACATTCTCCTGTGTGTGTTTTTGATGGGAAGGGTTGGTCTTTTGCTACTTTAAATCTTCACACATGTATGTGTCTTTTCATCCAGATAAGTAAACAAACAATAAAATGAACATAATTACAACCTCAAAGAAACTTGAAGAAAGGAAGGGATGAATTAATTGCTTGATAAATTTCTATTAAACTGCAACCAGACTATATATTTTCGTATTTGAATTATTTTAATAGGATACTTATTATCTATGATTTAGCATTTAGCATTTATAAATTCACTGCTGACAGATACAGCATATCTAGTTAGCAGGCAGTCACATGATCAAACTATCAAGTTGTCATGGTTTCTTTACACACAGTAAATTGGCTTTGGCAAACAGCTTCGTTTCATCTATAAAGACTGTACACTATGATACCGATTCAATGATTAACAAACAAAGAAATATTTTATCAACCAATAATAATAGAACATATACTACCAGTGAGTCTGGTTGTATTAGAACCCAGGATATCTAATTATCTAATTAAATAAGTGGGACTTCATTGAAAAGTTAACTCTGATATTTGTTCTTAAATCTTCCTTGTGTAGAAATTACAATAGGGAACACATTAATTTGATTTTACATTATTTTAGTTTTAAACCATTTTTTAAGAATATCGGCCACTGGCCTTCTTCAGATTCTCTATATTATCCCTCTAACATTCTGATAAGGAGAGAAATTCCAGAAGGCCAGTTGCTAAAATCTTTCAACAGAATTGAACTTACTTTACACTTTTCTCTGTCATTGTTGGAACTTTTTTTATATCTTATTTATGCACTTTTCTCTGTCATTGTTTGGAACTTTTTTATATCTAATTTGTGCACTTGACTAATATTGCAAATTTTATTTTTTATTTTTAAACAATTAATAAGGCAAAATAAAAAAAAATAATTTTTAAATAGTATTAAACATGTTTGTTTTAGTTGGAAATTAAGAACAGAAGAAAGCCTGCTACAACTTGATTATTAGGGAACCAGCAGGTGTAGAAGTTAAGGGTCTGTCTCAAGCAGGTGTTATCACAAGAGTACATACTTATCTACTCATCATCTTATCTCAAACAATGTGTCGAAATAATGCAACTATCAATTATCTTTGGAAAAATATTTAATATTTATTAATCTGGTGATAAGGTAAATTTAGTACAAATTGTTGTGTGAATTGTAGATAACAGGAGTTCTATCACTTTAGTTGAGAGTAGAGTCCATCTCTTGATTGTTAGTTATCTTTATTGGCAAAATATATAATAGTACAATGGTCAAGTGTCCATTCAATGGTCAAGATACACCATTGAAATACCACAAGATTGGAAAAGGAAAAAAAACTGCATTGATCTTGTTGATACCTGTATAATGTGTGGTCATTGTCTTTAGGGGAGCATTTAGTAATTTCAAATGCCAGTTTCATTAGTGAAAAAAAAAATTCAGGCCTTTTTTACAGTGGCATGAGGCCTATTATAAGCTTAAATTGGTCTCACTCTCGACAATGATGGAGAAAAAATAATAAGCGTTGTAAAGCGTAATTTTACGATAATGATCATGCAACTATGTCTTAATATAACACCTGTAAGGGATATCCTTTACTTCCTTTTGCTTCTGATTGTATTCCATTAAACGATTATAAAAAGATAATTCCATTATAAATTGTTGGACAGAGCATTCCTATCCAAATCAGGGATGACACTAATTAGACTTGTTCCTGAAGAAAATTGACTCCTATATTCATTTGTATTTTGTGTCCCAGTGATAGTTTAGTTATGTTTCCATAGATACCATTTCTGGTTATAGGATTTCAATTTCACTACTTGCTAGAATACAGTTAAGTAGCAACAAAAGTCATGCTATAAGAGATCACTATTGTAGTGTGGAATCAGTCCAATAAGTGCTTTCTCATTTAATTTATAAGCTTCGATTGTTTTTGGGTTTTTTTACAGTCATGATTTATATTGAAGATGAGGTCAGAATACTTTTGTAAAATTAGAGCTGTTCCATACAATTTTCAGTTTACATGTATATTCTCATGATTTCCTGATAGTGAATTCATTTTGTCTTACAATGTTCAAATTTTGAGGAAACATGTATATTTCTTATGATTATTTTTGCCATTGTAGAGTATTGGTAAGGGATCACTATGGTGTATAGATCCCGACTACAGACCTAACCTACTCCAAGCTCTCAGGAAGACCCCATATCATCCATATCATCAACTACAAATGTTGGCTAATCCACAACCCACACAGCAATACCATTATGTTCCAAAGTATGTACATACCCATTTAATATTTCAAATTACAGGATGTTGTTACAATTGTGATTGCTAGGGATGAAATATGATTATGTAACTGGCCGAGTTGAAAGATATCATTCTTTAAACATGATACTTGAAAAAACATATGACCAAAATCATGCAAAACGCATTATGATATATCTACAAAAATGTATATATTTATTTAATATATATATTACAGTTTATTTTCACTTAAAAGACAATTGCTGCTGACATCAAATAACATGGGTTACAAAATCCAATTTTTCAAAGCAGAAAATAGGAATATTGATGTAAAAAAGCTAGTCTTTTAAGTTAGACGTGACTGTCACATTTCATTGAATAAACATGATAAAGGCAGATGATACTTGTATTATATATGTTTCATAAAATGATGGATAATTACATATATGTATATGTATGTCTGACATGCTTAGGGCCTTTCTTACCTGTGGAAAAACTCATGTCATACCTGTAGTGATCAGGGGGAAATATTATGTGTACTTTAGAATATAGATAGATTGTATTTAGGGACTTTTTTTAAGAAAAAAAGGTAAAAAGATCCAGGCCAATTTAAGGATTTTCCACAATATTTGACTTTTAAAGGATTGTTTGGCATAAAAATGTTGTTATGAGAGTGTTTTATAGGAGAGCTTATTTAAAACCGGAATAAAAATGTTGTTATGAGAGTGTTTTATAGGAGAGCTTATTTAAAACCATTTTATCTTGCAATAAAATTGACTTTTTGTTTCAATATTTATGATGAGTATAATAATGAAGTTAAAGTGGCTTTTACTGCAGTTATAATTCATCTATATATAGAATTTACTTTTAAACCTTTTCGTGTAATTCTATTGCTTTCTGATTACACCTGCATTGGTTTAGTGGGACAATGGAGGATGATTTGAAACTTTCACAAGAAGTATATTCATAAACATGCATCAAACTGTCCATGAATCAAAAGATTAAAAAAATATGAAAATTAGTTAAGATTTAGCTTGAATTAAAGATGTTTTCTGTATTGTGGTTTATGCTAATGGTGGTAAAGTGAATAAGACTTGAAGCAAATAAGATATGAATAATACTGGCATTTACAATGTTATTAATTTTGATGATGTACAGTTTCCTCATATTTGTCTTTTTTACAGTGGCATGAGGCCTATGCCATTAACCCCAAGATTCGGACCAAATACCATCTCTCCTCGTAAGTATTATATTTTCCTAGATATCACTTTAGATGTGGCTTCACTAACTTTGCTGTGTACTTTTTTCACTAGAATATATTTTTATATATATACTGCTATATAACTTCTCACATTTTAATATGTAGTTTTGTAGTTTTCTTTTTACATGAGTGTAGAACATTTAATTAGCACAGGATGTGCCAATCCATCTTAAACCAGAGAACAGAAATATACAAAAACCAACCCCATACTTTGGATTTTATTTCAATTGAATAGTTGTCGAATTTACATATAGCATGTTCAAACCATGTCAATTATTGTGCATGGAGTGAAATAAATTTGAAAAATTAAATGTGGAAAAATATTAATAACAGAAGTATAAGGATTTTCCGTTTTCTTTTTTTGCAGATCTGTTTCCATTTTTAAGTAAAAGATTGGCACAATCAAATAGTGATAACAATGATATTGGTAAGTGTATTTTCCCAAGCACCATGTGTCATTATCTCCATGAGAAAAAGGTATACACCACCAAAGGGAGAATCACATCACATGATATCAATACAAGTGTTTATATCCACAATATTGACATCCATCTATTCTTTGTGCATAATACTTCACAGATTATTTGGATGGTGTTGACATTAATCTGATGGGCACACTTCTTTAACACCTAGCATACAATAACAAATGTTTCTCCACTGGTGTGAATGTTGTATGTTAAAATCGGTTCAAGTACAAAAAGTGTAAAAAAGTTAATTGACCCCTAACTGATAACTATAAATGAATACTTTTTGAGTGTTGGCATATTCTTAATAAATACATGTGGATTAATATTACACAGGAAAGATCAAGATAGTAAGGATTATTTCATTTGGCTACAGATTAATGAGTCTTTATTATGAAAACACTAATATCATCATGTTTAGGTGTTAAGAAGTTAAAAAAAAGATATAGTCTTGATTTGGATTAAAAAGAACTAACCATATATTTTTAAATGTCTAATACTTCTTTCTTCCAAAAAGACAAAATCAACTAAAATCGTGAATAATACATTATTATGCTATTTCTGTATGTTTGTTTTTATTAAATCATGTTATCAGTTTAAATAATTCCCTTTGACTTTAAACGACCTTGTATTATTAGAAAAATAAAATATTTATTGGTTACAATAAAAAAAAATGGAATAATTGAAAGATTCAATATGATATTGAGATTAATATTTCAGGCAAGTCAGAAAAAGTGCATAAAACCTTTATTAGAAATGACAAATGGAGGACAGAGCATTACAAGCTTGCTCCAAGAAAATCCATGCTTTAGTATTTTAGTATTGGACTCCCATTTCCAGCCATGATAATCTTGTTAAATTTTTAATTCAAATTAAGATAATTGATCTGATGACTTGGTGGTGATATCATCCTATTCCAAACAATAGTTTACACACTAGGGAGCATTTGTTTGAAACATCTGTGTACATGTTTCCATAGAAACATTTCATGGTAACAGATGTCAGCATGTTTATAATACTTGATGTTAGGTCTCATTTGTTCTATTCGGATGATATTAAATGTCGATCTTTCCGACAAAGCTGATAATTTTGTTTCTGTTGTAAGACAAAAAGTTCAATTTTTTATAGGAAATCACACAATGCTGTATTACAGCATAAAATGTGAACTTGACATTTGAAACATTGATTTAAGCAGATGACTTCTTCTGATTTGAAACGATGAAGAACTGTTAAGACATTAATTGTTCAGTAGAACTTATTTCTTCACACATCATATATTTTTTAAACCATTTAAGAGCCAAGCATAATTTGTGAACCTCGTTTTTTGTTCTGATATTAGAAATGAATTTAACCTGTTTTATCGGTGAAAGCAATTATAACTAATAAATTTAAGTTGACATTTTTCATGTTGAATTTTTAAAAGCATTAAAAACAATTTGAAATTTATTTGCTCTGTCTGTGGTAAGGAACAACCTTTCCAGAACCGAAATAGATTGAAATGATTTGATATAATTTTACCAGATACACCAAAATAAATTGCTGCAAGTGATGGTTTGTGAAAACAATTCTACTATGTGTCATAATATGTTTGGTTCTGGTATCATCATGTTATTACAACCAACATTAATTCCAACACTTAATTTTCATCATTATTTTAAGCAAGAGGATCACAAACTAAAACTGAGACCAACACCCACCTCTTGATAATGAATGTAGGAAACTAAACATGAGACCCCACCTCTCTTGACATTGATTGTAGTACATTGTATTTCAAAAGTTGTATTAATAAAATATTGATTTTGAAAGAAAGTTTTTTTCAGGAATTTAAAAGCAATTGGATTAATTTGCTGTTTTCCAAACACCACCTTAGCACAAAATAAGTTTTTAGAAATGAGAGTTGTTTGAGTAATAAGTGCAAACAGGATATTTTTATAACAAAACTATTTATACAATTGTAATACAGCTAGCAAATTTGATATGAACCAAATAATAAGTGTTTCAGCAGTTAATGATTTATAGCAAAAAATATAATTTTGTACATGTAATGAATTCATAGAAGTATATTTTTATATGTCCAATTAATTCCTTATATTTCTTGATTACAGACAGAGACATACAAGATGTTGCTCATACATTGGTTTCTCTTAAAGGACTGGGCAGTCGAGGTAAGACATACAGTTGGAGTTGTTTCCCTTTATATGAGAAAATAAAAGACTAAGTTTTGAAAGAAAGCTTTCGCTTATAATTCATCAGAAGTTTGTACATAAGTTAACATTAGTAGATATCTTGAGATTTCTCAGCAAACTACAAATTTCTTCTATTCAATATAAAATTAAGTCCCTTAAATTGTTTGTACTTTCAGGGTCACCAGCAAGGTCATCTGATGGTGAAGATTATGCTTCAAACAGTTACAGAATGAGATTGAAAAGAAAGCAAATGTAAGTTTAGTCATAAAAATTAGTCCCTTTGGTATCTGTCGCCTCTCTTTTACATGTGAAAGTAAAACTTAAAGGGAAGCTCACATTTGCCTAAACAGAGGTAAAAAGTACTGGTAATTTACATTCCTGCATTATCCTCCCTCTTCCTCTGCCTGTAATTTAAGATATGGAAAATTCATCCACAATCCCTTTTCCCTTTAGATTTCTTTACTAAAAAAATTTTAATTCTCTACGACAACAATACTTAGTTTTTGATGACAGAGAAAGTGGTCTGTAGAGTGTCTCAAGGGAAATATATTGATAATTGATGATATGCTGTTAGTTACAATGAAGAGTAAAGAGATATTCATTTTCTTTTGAAACTAATATCACTCCCTCTACTCGTGTGATTTCATTCAAAGAAGCAGTCTCAATGGACAATCTTATTTTCTGTATTTTACCCATTATTTATATTATTGGTTAATTTTTCCATAAGTTGGAATAGATCTATTTGTTGCCCACACTCGATTCTGAAAGAGATAAAAAATGTCAAGTTTCAAGAGTAATTGCATGTGATCTTTTTAAAGCTGTTGTATATATTTAATTACAGGCAACTAAAGACAGACTTTGTTAAGCGACGACACACAGAGCCAATCGTAGTTACAGAAGTACCCAGTGAAGATCATACATACAGTTTAACAAACTTCGGTAACATTGGTTCACCAGCTTCTTCAATTGATGAAGAATATGACTTCGGAGAAGAAGACGATAATTTCAGTGAGTGTAGCGATATGTCTGACTGGGATAGTGATATGGATGAGGTGGATGGAGATATTCCAGATAAACATACAAAATTAACCCCTCATAAAAACATTCAGAATAGTAGTATGGTAAAAATGACTTCTAGGAAACGAAAAGAAATGGAGGAGGAAGAACAGAAAAAAATTGTAGAAGGTGCTGATGCATTATTAAACTTAGCTGGTATAATGACAAACTCTAGTTCACTTAAAACGAACAGATCACATTCATGATTATAACTTGGATAGCCATGACGACAGAAATAGTGCAGGGAAAACATAATGCCATAGAGAGGAAAATGATGTCTTCCTTTTTGCTGCTTTGTATATAGAATACTTCCATATGTTTATGTTTATTTTTCTTTTTTATGTGAACTTTTTTGCTGTCATTATGGGATTTGTTTGTTGTTTTCTATCTGTAGACACTATATGTTTTTTTGTTTTTTTTAAATAACTTTAGGCTTAGTTGACCAATCCTATTGAAATTTTAACAAAGTATTTATTGGCACAAAAAGTCTGGTTATGATTTTTGATTGTGGCTTCACCTGTTGTGAAAAAAAACGCTAAATTTTAAGCATTTTATTTTTAATAAAATCCCTATCTGGACTACATCAACAGATTTTAAGAATCAGGAAGGGTCAAAATTGGTTAAAATTTCTTTCAAATGTGGACTAATTTTTTTGGCTGAATTCCATGTCCATATTCCTGCCAGCATTTAACATGTTTAAATATTAATTTTTGTGCAACTGTACTGAAGAGAGGTACTGCATTGTTTACATTGTTTAATGGAACACTGTTAAAGATGTATTTTTATTTCAGAATGTTTAAGTTAGTATTTAAGAAATTCAGGAACAACAGATAAATTTGATCGTTTGTATTATATATCCTTCTATTGTGAAATTTATTTTTTTTTCTTTAAGCTGGTATTATATATAATATTCTCTAATTTTTGTGCTATTTTCACATTTCTTGATCAGTGTGAGAAAAATATTTCTCCTCACTAGTGAAATATCTGTTCTCGGCAAATGATTGGTTGAAATTTAATTATGACGTCAAAGTTTCTTGGTTTCTTCTGAATTTTCCTACTGTGACGTCATGAAAAAAGACGACCGTGCCTGATGACGTCACATATAAAGAACACAACTTTCTGCAAATCTTTGAAAAGGAAGGATAAAAATCATTAGAGAAACAGATTCCACCACTATAACTCATTTATTACGATATTTCTCCACTCTCAACAGTTAAATTTTAGTTATTTAAAAAGCTTGGCAAGCCTCGCGCTTTAAATATTAAAATTTAACTGTCTCGAGTGGAGAAATATTGTAACACACTTGTTGTAGTGGTGAAATCTATATTTTACTAATCTGTTCTTCATTCTTGTTTTACTTCTCTGAAATCATAAGGTGTTCAAAATCAACATTGATTGTGCAGATAGATATTAAAGTTTTTGAGGAGAAAAAACGCTTTCCTGGTGAATTTGTATACAAGTCTTCCTTAATTTTAGGACAATTTTTTAATAAATAGACTGTAGAGATCACATATCCAGACAGCACACTAAGACTCTTTAGATGTTTGCACACAGATTAAACTCTTTTTATTATGAGTCGTCGGATATTATGTTGTATTCAGTTAACATTGAGGATTGTAATTAATTGTGCCAACTAAGTGAAGGCCAAGGTGCTGTTGTTTCAAACCTTTAGGTGCTAAGCAATTTAATGTCAGTCCTTTTTACTTAAAAATGACTGCAGTAAATTTTGACTTTGAGCTTTAAGAAATTGAAGAAAGGCAATTTGCACAAAAGCCTTTTTTTTTTCTTTTAATGAAGTTTATTTTTACTTCATTTATGTATCACTATAGAAATGATTTATTAAAAGTCACAGAATTTTGTGCAAATTGGTTATTTAAATGTGCAATTTTGAATTGTACCCGTATGTGTTCAAATTTATATTTGGTCATTATATTAAGTCAGGGCCATTTATGGATTAGTCATGCGCAATTATGTGGGGAATAACTCACAATTTCTGTTATGTTAGCTCTAGTGGAATGCTGAAAGAAGACTTAAATTTGAAATCTGTTATCAAATGATTTGATGTAATAGTTTTGTGATTGTTTCAAATAGCATATATTTGTATTTCAACAATAACAATATAAAGGTTTTCTTTAGATGCCACATTTTTTAATTTTATGAATGTTGCTTCTTGTCATTATTTTTTTTTATTTTACAAATGCCATGAATGTTACAAATTTGCCAATTCAATGCCAATACATTCCTTAAAACAAAGTTTTGACCTTAGTCAACCTTTCATCAGATTATCAAGAAAATATCTTATGGGCAAGCTTTCCACTTGCAATGATTATATTGCCTGATTCTATACAAAAGATTAAGATATAGCATTGGTAGTTACTGCAGCTAAGATTAAGAACCTTTATTTTTTTAAATTGGGACTTGATATTTTAAATTTGGTAACCACCGATCAAGGTTAAATCTTTGAAAAGTAAAAGTTTACGCCCAACACTAGACAGTCTTTGTTTTAGAAATTAAATCATATACTAACATTACATCATTTATTGATAAATATCGAAGACAGTTACAAAAAATTATTAAAATTATTATATACTATTGAGATAAAATGGTGTGTTCATAAACTGTTTTAATTGTCCATGTGACAGTTGGCACCCAGTGCTAAAGCTTGGGTATTGTTTGTTATATAAGTTGTTAATTTTTGTTGTTAAACATTTTTTAACCTGTTGTACATTTTAAGACATGTATGTAAATATCATTGAATACTCAGTTAATATTTAGTGCTTAGATATAATGTATAGGCATTATTCACTTTTCATAAATACTTTTATCGCTATTTTGTGAAATTTTCCTTTGATCTTACTGACTGATAATTTCCTTTCTCAGCACAGTAGAGTTGATATGAAAAATTATCGCTAGAAACTAAGGGCGCACATGCTGTTGTCAATGAAATTAACAACGTCGTCATAGGTAAAATAGCAATAAACAGATTATCATCTCAACTCGATTGCTTTTCTCACTTTCACCGCACCGGCTCAAGTGAGAAAATCAATCTCGTTGAGATGACCAACGATAATCTATTAATTATACAAACTCGACATCATTTTTTATGCACATTAGATGAATTCAAAAGATAAAATACCAATCCTGAATGGTTGGTCGTATATACCAGGCTTGTCTATCCTTATAGGTAATAGAAAGTAACAGATTTCAAAAGGCTAAAATAGGTTAAGGTGTAGGCAAGTCTGTATAAACTTTTATGTTATTTTATGAATTCAATAGAAACCTTAAGACCAGACAAAAGCTTTGAAGATATCCTTTCATTAATAAAACCTTACTACAATCTCCAGATGAACAATTACATACTGATTTAATTTTGTTATACAACGACATTTTAATTTTAATGCTGGAAATGAAATCTAGTTAAAACAGAAAGAATGTTGAAATTTTCTAATTTATAAAACTAGCATCTGAAATGACCTGAGATAATTGAAAATTACAATTATGTTTTAAATTTCTATATAAATGAATTAGATAAACAATATATTTACAAGTTGTTATTTAATATATATCTTCAAATGTTATGAAAATAATTTACCATCTGTTACTAGACTTGTGTAATTTATATACATGGATGTTCACTTCTAACATGTATTTTTTCTACATTTTTTTTATAAGATAGATATGTATATGCCAAATGTCTTCGTTAAAAATGTTTGTTTTTATGTAAAAAGGGGTAGTGGTGATGTTAATTTTTTAAGGTGAATTTTTTTTATATTTTGTCTGGAAAATAACTGCAGCAAATAATTTTGGATGAAAAATCCAGAATATTGTAAACATTTACAATGAATTCACTCGTAAAGTTTGAACAAGAAATTTATGAAATATTGCAAAGATCATCAAAAATATGAACCAAAAACAAAGCTCAGATGAGAATGTTCTGGATTATTTAAAGACTAATTGTTTTACACTAAATTTTGGTTGAGGAAAATGTTCTTAAAAACAAATCACTATTGACTTATATTTTTAAAGAAATTTAAAGTTCATCCTCCAAAAACTTTGCTGTACAATAAATTTTTTTAATCTTCATTTAAATAACAAAATTAAATTCTATTTTCAAAAGCTTAATCATGTTAAAACTTTAAGAATCATACAATGATTGATTTCCATTCAAGATACTGACAACTAACGTTAGAAATGAAGCTTTAATCATGAAATGGTATCATTCTTTTCATCAGTTTCTGTTTGTTAGGTTTAGACCTTCTTTTCCTTGAATTTAATGTTTTATTTGTTAATTAAATCCAGGTATTCCACCATTTATTTTTATTTAAAACACTTTTAATTGTTATAAACACTTAGAAGCATCATAATTTTATTGGTTCAGTAAATTGTGTTCAGAACTACCTAGTCAATGTTATTTTTTAATTGTTCCACAATCTCAATATGTCATTTCAATTTTTTAACATTCAGTTTGTTGAGTCTGTTCAGCTTTGTTTTGTTTTTGAAAAGCCGTATAAAATTTTAAAAATAAGAAATCTGACATTAATTGTTATAAATGTAAATCAAAGAATTTTTTAATCATGATATTGTATTTTACACAAATGGGAAACAGGAATCAGGTAAGCATTTTTTTTAACAAAATGTGAGAAAAAAAGAAAAACATTTTTTTTTTATTCATTATGCATTAGAAATAACTATAAAAATATGTTAATGTTAAGTTTGTCTGCCAAAATTTTAGACAATCTAAAAAACTTGATAGTTAGAAAAAATATAAAAGATACTGTAAAAGAATAGATTGGATTTGCAGCATTGTAAATTGTTGATATATAGTTTTAAAAAAATCAAGTTTAAGGAATATTTGAGAGAAGAACAGTTGCCCAAAGGGTCAAATGTTTTTGTATAGTGCTCTGTTAATTTTGTCTTACATGCTTCATTTCAGTTTATCATTTAAGAATGGAAAAAAAATCAGGGATTTCTATGCAATGTCATTATTTGAATCAAAATGTCATTTTCAGTAATTTGTGCAATATACTTTAAAGATAGAATCCCATTGTTATATAAATAAGTTGAACAGGTGTACAAAGGAACATCAATAAATAAAAATATAAAAGAAAATGTGTTTTGTTATGTAAGTTTGTCTTTTGATTGTTATTTAAAATATTTAAAGAATAAAGAATAAAAGACATTGAGAGAATCCCCACCTCCCTTTATGATCTTCATCATCAGAGAATCCTCACCTCCCTTTGTGATGTTCATCATCAGAGAATCCCCACCTCCCTTTGTCCTGTTCATCATCAGAGAATCCCCACCTCCCTTTGTGATCTTCATCATCAGAGAATCCCCACCTCCCTTTGTGCTATTCATCATCAGAGAGAATCCCCACCTCCCTTTGTGCTATTCATCATCAGAGAATCCCCACCTCCCTTTGTGCTATTCATCATCAGAGAATCCCCACCTCCCTTTGTGCTATTCATCATCAGAGAGAATCCCCACCTCATACCTCCCTTTGTGCTATTCATCATCAGAGAGAATCCCCACCTCCCTTTGTGCTATTCATCATCAGAGAGTTCCCCACCTCCCTTTGTGCTATTCATCATCAGAGAATCCCCACCTCCCTTTGTGCTATTCATCAGAGAATCCCCACCTCCCTTTGTGATATTCATCATCAGAGAATCCCCACCTCCCTTTGTGATCTTCATCATCAGAGAGTTCCCCACCTCCCTTTGTGATCTTCATCATCAGAGAGTTCCCCACCTCCCTTTGTGCTATTCATCATCAGAGAGTTCCCTGCCGATCTGTTGTACTCTTCATTATTGGAGAATTTCCTTTATCACTTTGTGATCTTCATCAGAGAGTTCCCTACCTCCCTTTATGCTATTCATCATCAGAGAATCCCCACCTCCCTTTTTGCTATTCATCATCAGAGAATCCCCACCTCCCTTTGTGCTATTCATCATCAGAGAGAATCCCCACCTCCCTTTGTGCTATTCATCATCAGAGAATCCCCACCTCCCTTTGTGCTATTCATCATCAGAGAATCCCCACCTCCCTTTGTGCTATTCATCATCAGAGAGAATCCCCACCTCCCTTTGTGCTATTCATCATCAGAGAATCCCCACCTCCCTTTGTGCTATTCATCATCAGAGAGAATCCCCACCTCATACCTCCCTTTGTGCTATTCATCATCAGAGAGAATCCCCACCTCCCTTTGTGCTATTCATCATCAGAGAGTTCCCCACCTCCCTTTGTGCTATTCATCATCAGAGAATCCCCACCTCCCTTTGTGCTATTCATCATCAGAGAATCCCCACCTCCCTTTGTGCTATTCATCATCAGAGAATCCCCACCTCCCTTTGTGCTTTTCATCATCAGAGAATCCCCACCTCCCTTTGTGCTATTCATCATCAGAGAGAATCCCCACCTCCCTTTGTGCTATTCATCATCAGAGAGAATCCCCACCTCCCTTTATGCTATTCATCATCAGAGAGTTCCCCACCTCCCTTTGTGCTATTCATCATCAGAGAGTTCCCTGCCTCTCTGTTGTGCTATTCATCATCAGAGAATCCCAACCTCCCTTTGTGCTATTCATCATCAGAGAGAATCCCCACCTCCTTTTGTGCTGTTCATCATCAGAGAGAATCCCCACCTCCCTTTGTGCTTTTCATCATCAGAGAGTTCCCTGCCGATCTGTTGTGCTCTTCATTATTGGAGAATTTCCTTTATCACTTTGTGATCTTCATCATCAGAGAGTTCCCTACCTCTCTGTTGTGCTCTTCATCATCAGAGAGTTCCCCTCCTTGTGCTCTTCATCATCAGATAGTTCCCTACTAGCACATTAAAAATCAGGTTCAGCGTGTCGGTCTAGTACAAAGCAGGGTTAATACTAATATTACATTAACATGTTCTCGTCCTGAATATGCATATTAATTTGCCACAGGACGTTGAGCAGCCATCCATCATCATCATCATCCCTGTTGTGCTCTTCATCAACATATAGTTCCCTAACTCCCTGTAGTGCTCTTCATCATCATATAGTTCCCTAACTCCCTGTTGTGTTCTTCATCATCATATAGTTCCCTAACTCCCTGTTGTGTTCTTAATCATCATATAGTTCCCTAACTCCCTGTTGTGTTCTTAATCATCATATAGATCCCTAACTCCCTGTAGTGCTCTTCATCATCATATAGTTCCCTAACTCCCTGTAGTGCTCTTCATCATCATATAGTTCCCTAACTCCCTGTTGTGTTCTTCATCATCATATAGTTCCCTAACTCCCTGTTGTGTTCTTAATCATCATATAGTTCCCTAACTCCCTGTTGTGTTCTTAATCATCATATAGTTCCCTAACTCCCTGTTGTGCACTTCTTCATCATATAGTTCCCTAACTCCCTGTAGTGCTCTTCATCATCATATAGTTCCCTAACTCCTTGTTGTGTTCTTCATCATCATATAGTTCCCTAACTCCCTGTTGTGTTCTTAATCATCATATAGTTCCCTAACTCCCTGTTGTGTTCTTAATCATCATATAGTTCCCTAACTCCCTGTTGTGCTCTTCATCATCATATAGTTCCCTAACTCCCTGTTGTGTTCTTAATCATCATATAGTTCCCTAACTCCCTGTTGTGCTCTTCATCATCATATAGTTCCCTAACTCCCTGTTGTGTTCTTAATCATCATATAGTTCCCTAACTCCCTGTTGTGCTCTTCATCATCATATAGTTCCCTAACTCCCTGTAGTGCTCTTCATCATCATATCGTTCCCTAACTCCCTGTAGTGCACGTTCCCTAACTCCCTGTTGTGCACTTCTTCATCATATAGTTCCCTAACTCCCTGTTGTGCACTTCATCATCATATAGTTCCCTAACTCCCTGTTGTGCTCTTCATCATCATATAGTTCCCTAACTCCCTGTAGTGCTCTTCATCATCACATAGTTCCCTAACTCCCTGTTGTGCACTTCATCATCATATACATTGTAGTTCCATAACTCCCTGTAGTGCTCTTCATCATCATATAGTTCCCTTACTCCCTGTTGCGTTCTTCATCATCAGACAGTTCCCTACACCCCACCCTCCCCGATCTATAGAATATCTAGGATGTCTACTATGGAGTTTGTGATTTTTATTTAGTTTGATCAACCAACATGGCCGCTGTGGCTATAAATTGTAAAAAAATTATCAGCACAAGATCTATTAACCCTGAAAATTTTGGAAAAAATATGCCAACCTAATGTTGAGGAATTGCTCAAGAAATATACATTTTTCCAAGTTTTTGCATTTTTTTTTTTTGTGGTTTTGAAAACTATAGGAGCTAGGCTAAAATTGTTAACTACAAAAGTTATCAGCATGTCGAGATCTATCTTCTCTGATATTTTTTGACAATACGTTTTGGACTTATTGCCCCTGAAAGATTTTTTACTGTTTTAAACAGTTTTATTTGTTGTCTAAAAACTATAGGAGCTATAGACTACACAAAACAATACACATAACATAAGGACATTACACACATACAAAACATGAGATAATACACCTTTTTGGTTACACATATGAAAGAAAAGAAAAAACACACAAAAACACACAAGCAACATGCTATCACAAAATTATTAAGCATGAAATGAGCACTAAAACTTTGTGAAGTAACCAAACGGGCATATGAACTTGACATCACACAATTAAACATAAGATAAGAACTAGAACTATCTGCATGCACAGCATTGGCATGAGCTGCCATTCCATATAGAAATTAATTTGGTAAAATGTCCTGAATTTGTCTCCAGTTTGAAATGGTTTGGCAGCTCACTCCATAATTTAGTAGCAATATATCTAAAATAATGAATTAGTGGCAGTAGGTGTGTCTGCTGTTAGATTGATCTAAAGAGATTACATGTAATAATGGTGTTTTTTGTCTCGCCTGTGACGAAAGTAGCCGAATGCGAGACAGGAATTACAATCCAACGACGGCATAAACTAATTTGTATAAAGCTTTATATTTTATTGGGTAAAAGACCTGGATGTTTCATACCATGTATGCAGATGCCTTGCGTTACGAAGTTTCCGTCTATCCAAATAATGTCCATTGTCCTTGAACTCATTTTCATGGTTCATTGACTTTAAGAAACATGTAGTTTTTCTGTCATCTGAAATACTCGCTTATTTTTAAGTTATGGAATAACCATTTGGAATATTGAAATCTTGCCGTCATACAACGTACACCTGACCTCGACCTCATTTCATGGATCAGTGGTCAAGGTTAAGATTTCGTGGTCAAGTCCATATCTCAGATACTATACTAGTAAGCAAAAGGTCAACTATATTTGGTGTGTGGAAGGATTGTAAGGTGTACATGTCTGTCTGGCTGATTTCATTTACAAGTTACTGATAAGGTTCTCAACGAGTGTTGATATTTTTGATGCCGATCAGAAATTCAAAATTGTATCAAGATGAAGTACAGTTCACATTGAAACCCAAAGGGAAATTATATTTTGTTTTTATTTCAAAGAACAGATTAAGTAAATTAAACACAAACCGCGCAGAAATGTTCCCTAGAAGGTACTGACGAAAAATTCCTATATGGCTTCAGATACCAAAAAGGGGTCCAGTTGGTTTGATTTTCTAATATCTTCTCAAGAATCACTGAAGCAATTAGAACCATTATTGCTCAGATATGTTCCTTTGAAAATCTTTTTGGTTGTTACTTTTAAAAAAGCTAAAAGGAAATTCAAAGTGGCTGTCAAAGTTTACATTGAAACCCTATGGGAAATTACAGTTTTATCTTTATAAGAACGAATGAAGTTTAGTTAAAAAAAAACCATGCAGCGATGTTTTGTAAAAAGTACTTACAAACTTGTTAACTTATAAATACACTAAAGTAAAAAGGTTGATTTGAAATATCACTTTTTAGTAAAATTCCTGCAGGCGTAACCAGACTTCCACAGTAAACATCTTATTTGTGATAAAACTTAATAAAGTAACATTTTCATATGCCTGTCTAAAGTCAGGAACCTTGTTAGTAGTTGTAGAATATTCATATCTTTTAAAAGTTTTCGTTATTTGGAGAATTAGGTTATAATGGCAAATATTTGATTGTTTCTGTTAGGTTTATTCACAACTTTCATAG